TTTGGAAATTGTTAAGGGGCCTGTATCAGTTTTTTTTTTAATCCAAAGACCTTAAGTACATAAGATTTTTATTACACAAGAAACAATCCAAACTTCCCTACATCTAAAAGGTTTCCTACACCAATTATAAGGATTTAACCTAAAACCTAATCATCTTGACCTTTAGTCCTTCAAACAATCATGACCGAGTTCATAAATCACTCTAAACCTGTAACATTTACCATACTTGAATTCCCTAAAAAGTCTTCAACCACCATATGTTTTCTCCCTTTCATCACAAATAGTAGCATTGCAATACCCATGCTGGCATCAGTTTGATTCCATCCATTGTGCTGTTTGATTTCCTAGAACTTTCCTCACGAGGACGATGTTGTGATCTATATGGACTGCTGCCCGTCAAGACAATAAAACGTAATTAAGAGCAAGGTTACGGCAAACCCACATTCAAGAGGAGATAGTAAATGTATTTTAGAGGAGAAGAAAGAGGTCGCTGTACCGTGTTTTTCCGGCTTCTCAAAGGAGATTGGTACCGAGCCTTGAAATGCAAGCCAAGCAACGTAATCCATGCATAAATTAAAGACCAATGAGGTCATTAAGACTCATCAAGTGTGAGCAAAATTTTGACAGAGGAAAGATTACCCTGAAATCCTTCTCGTTAAATTGTCGGAAATAAATCAGGATGAAAATAGAATTTGCTAAGAATCGGCAGGACGTGACTTTCCAAAAACCGCTGTCGTGCGTGCTCTTCCTGCAAAACGTGCTAAGCTGCTCCCACCTCTCGGAAAATGACGACATTCCGAAAAATCTCCATTTTTGCATAAGGGAATCAACTAGCAGCCTTAGCCCTTAAACTACCTGCATAATGCATAAGAGAACAAGGGTCAGTAGCTCAACCAACCAAGAAACTGAATTGCACTTTCGACTAAGAGAAGTTGCAGATTCTGCAATAACCACAGACAATGATAAGAAGGTTCCTAAATCTTAATCCAATGTCATTAAAAGCAGTGCAAATCCTCTAAGTACACCAACATTGTTGAAATAATAAAGGAAAGGTCATTAATTATGAGCCACAACTTTCATATATTTTCTTTCCAAAACACAATACCCAACATGTTCCGACATGTTAATGCGAGAATGGAAAGTTGTTTATTAGATTGTGAAGACCAGTTTTGACATGTCGGAAACAATTTCTTTGTCTTTCCCAAATGGCATTCTAGAACAAGGGGACAAGAGTTAATGTATTTCCAAACAAACACCCTGATCCCTTTCGCCTTGCTCATAAAAGGAAAAATGTTTAAGAAAAGAGGGGACCCATCGCAGGAAATCAGAACCAAAAGCACACATACCAGACGAATCATACACAAAACACCCAGACCTGCTTCGTAACATCGAAAGCATCACAAGCTCGTACGATATGTAATAACATAAACACATCCATAACCACAGTCCACAGAGGCCGCCTATTCCAGAAGAAATTAAAAGACAGCCAATGTCACCCACAGATCGTGAATCGTAACAATGAAAATTGAAAGAGGAGGAGGAAAGTTATCTCGCGTAGCTCGTAAGCATTGTTGATCGAGAGAGGTGGAAGGAGTGACTCGCGGGGAGGAGAGGATCGAATGACATTGAAGCAATGTCGGAGCAGAGATTGTGGAGGTGGTCACGTTGGGAGAGATACTTGTTGATATTTGAGTGCCATTTTTTGATTTTTGATGCTGGGACTGTGAAAACCCTAGGTTAGAAGTCGCCTTCCAAAGACCATAGTTGTATTGCTTTTTGTTTGCTCTGTTGCATGTCCAACAGAAGAATCTGTATATGAACCTGTAATTCATATACAATACATCTCATTTGCATCATTATTCCCCCGCTTGATCCTTGATTCCTCAAATCGATCAGCTTAGGATTTAGTCCCTACACCTTAAGATATGACCGATTTCTCTTGAATCCTTCAACTTAGACAAACCTATATCGATTCAAATCATCTTATTCTCCCCCACAAGAGAATTAGACGTGATTCATCTTGACAGTCGAGAAATAATTCTCCTTCCCCATAATAATATCGAGAGATGTATAATCTTTTCCGCTTGAGAGAGGTATGTGGCATACTCGTCGATAAATCCGAGTTTTAAGCCATTCTCTCAATGTGATGCAAATACCATCTCCTACAAGTTATGGTGGTTAAGTCGAGTATTCTCCCTTAAGATGACGACTCGTCTTTTCTCCTAGAATCAATCAACAAATTTTATCCCTTTGGAAATTTGACCAACAGTTAATGGTTCCTCGGTCCCTTTTAGAGGAACTACAAATACTCTGATTCCACTCCCATCAGGATACGTAGGCACAAGATGCGACTTCTTGGCGAGTATACTTAGAAATAAACCCCTAGGTCTTTCACCCTTAGCGAACAACAATAACACGATAAAACAAGAGGTTCATGTAGAGTACTACATATGCTTAGGATGCTAACACCTTCCCTAGGTATAACCAATCCCTGAACCTTAGATTCTCTAGCTTTGCATTTGCATTGCATCTTGTGGATAATTCGATCTTTTTTCCTTCTCTTGGACAAATTAAAGACCGGTGGTGAAAAATGAATTAAGATTCAAGTTAATCAATAGCTTGGTATCCGATTCTCACCGCGACAAGGAGATGCCGATTTTCCGTCCTTGTGATCAGTTTCTCCGGTGGAAGCTCCGGGAATTGGGTTTTCGCCGCAACCCAGAATGGCGACAATGGAATATTGATGGACGTTATTATGGTGAGAGGCCATGACGATGAAGGTTCAGAGAGATAACTTTGGTCTTTTGCTCAGGAAGATTGGGGAATCTTGGTTCAAAAAGTTAGGGGAGCTGGTGTTCCCACAGACGGCGCCACTGATCTGGAGTGATCATAATGGATCGTCTTGGCATTCAATATAAGGCAGCAATAGTGGTTGTAGAAGAGGGGGTGTACCTGCAAGGTACTCCGATGTCAAGTAAATTTGGGCTAGAGAGAAAGAAAGTACGAGTGTTTAGGTATGAGTTAGAATGATTAGAATACTTGACCCTTTCAAGAGAGAGGGTATTTATGAGATTCCCCTCAGCGCGGGGTCAAGGTCTCCCATGTGGCCGAAATATCTGGCCGACCAATGGGAGACTGCCAGGTGGAAGATATAGTGCGTGATCTTTGACCTGGTCCAACTGTCTCCATGAATTTCGGAGACAGTTGGTCGTGTGAACTGTCAAGCGCGTGAGGGGGATATCCCCAACGTCTATGTGCTACAACGACTATATTGTGTCCAACAACTATATTGTGCCTAATAGGGGTGGCAAAATGGATGGATTGAATTGTTAATGGATTGATTAAAACAATCCATTAGTCCATTAACAATCCACTAAAATTTTCTTAAAATTATCCAATCCAATCCATCCATCCAACTTTTTTTTTATTTCGTAAAAATAAATATATTTTTTTATTTTAAAAAATTTGATTTTATTTTATTTTTGAAAATTTCAATTTTTGTATTTTAAAAAAATTATTTTTTAATATATTTATTAAAAAAACTGAATTTTTTGTATTTTCAGAAAAAAAATTGATATTTTAATTTTCGAAAAATATCGATTTTTTTCCAAAAAAAAAGTCGGTTTTTTTTTTTGAGAAAAAATTTTATTCTTTTTAAAAAACAAATCAGTTTTTTATTCTGAAAAAAAAATAGATTTTTTTCCGAAAAAAAAGTAGGTTTTTTTTTTCGAAAAACAAATCAGTTTTTTATTCTGAAAAAAAACTAATTTTTTTCAGAAAAAAATCAATTTTTTTCCAAAAAAAAGTCGTTTTTTTTTCGAGAATTTTTTTTTTTCGAAAAAAAATCATTTTTTTATTCTGAAAAAAAAACCGATTATTTTCGAAAAAAAATTGATTTTTTTCCAAAAAAAAAAGTCGGTTTTTTTTGAGAAAAAACTTTATTTTATTTTTGAAAAAAGAAAAACAGATTTTTTTTTTTAAAAATTAAACTTTTTTTTTAAGAAAAAAAATATAGTTTTTTAATTATTTTTAAAAAAATCTATTTTTAAAAAATAAATCTAACGAAAATAAAAATAATCCATTGGATCCTTAAAATATGTTGGATGGATTGAATCCATCCATGCATATAAATGGATGGATTTAATCCAATCCATTAACTTATTTTTTGTGTGGTGAATGGATTGGATGGATTTTTTGATGGATGAATTGGATGGATTTTGCCTTAATGGATTCAATTGTCACCTCTAGTGCCCAACAGTTATATTGTTTCCAACGGCTATATTGTGTCCAATCTTCTTATTGGGCCTTACCCGATTGTGGGGGCATGTGCCAGCCCAATCCAGGACAAATATATTTTTGTTATTTTATTTGTTTCAACTATAATCACTCATTTTCATTTTGCAATATTAATTTTTAATATACATATATCATATATTATATCAAATTTATTATTTATTAATTTTAATAAAAAAGTATAATTTAAAATTTGAATATTAAAAAAAATGAATTAAATTAAATAGCATAAAATTGAATCGAATCAAATTTTTTTTAATAAATCATCCAAAAACAAATTAAACTGCAAGTAAACTAATTTTTGAATTGAAACACCATAGTAGTTAGTTTTCTAAAATCTACATGATAATTTAAATTCAACTTAAGTCCACTTCATAGTAAAAGGAAAATATTAGACCACCTTAAAAATGTTACAATACAAATAACCACTATTTCTATTGTAGTACAACATTACAAATTGCTTTGACTTAAGGAGTATTCCTTACTTTAGAGAATGCCATCAATCACCAATGATATCAAAATAGAAAATACCCAAACCAAAGCTCTATAATTGTCTAAAAAGTGTCATCACACTTAGGTTTCCAAGTATACCCCCTAGATGACACACAAATTCTTGATTTGTTCGGAAATATACATCTTGATTTGTTTAGAATGTGTACATTCAAACTAATTTGGAGTGGAAAAAGTGTTTTTTCCTGAATAATTGCTTATCTGGGCCTACCAGAATTTGGTCCAGGCCCAGGCCCAGGATATCCAGGCCCACCCTTACCCATAGCTTGATGAAATCCACCAGAACCATACACGTGTCCTTGATGCATCATCATCCCGGCACCATAATTACCACCACTCTCAAAGGAACTGTTGTTAACACTATTAGAACCTTGAGGCGCGTCCTTGTCACGCGCCACCACTGTCTTCTCTCCTTCCATCTCCCTAAACCTCTGGAGGTATCCTTTGAGAGGCTCCACGTATTCCTCGAAGCCGAGGGTGGTCATCGCCCACAGCAAATCGTCGCCGTTGATCGTCTTACGCTTCTCGCGTTGGCACTTGTCGGAGGCTTCGCCGGTGATGAAGCTGATGAACTCTGAAACGCACTCTTGAACTGTTTCTTTTGCATCCTTTGAGATCTTGGCGTTGGCGGGAAGTGCTTTCTTCATGATCCTGCTTACGTTCGCTATCGGAAGAAACCTGTCTTGTTCTCTCGGTGACATCTCGCTGCCATGAGCGCTCGATCCCCCGCCGTGTGGACCACCGGAATCGTTGTCGGAGTCCGCCATTCTTGAATTTCCAACTGTTCAATTCGAATCTTATTTCGCTGACGACAAGTCTACTCGGCTCAGATCGCTTTGACTCGATTCCGCGCCAAATCAATAACTGTTTATGAAAAAACTCACCGGAATATGAAATTGAAGCGTTGATGCGATTTAATTCGGAATTTCGAACTGGACCTGGATAGAACTGAATGAGAACTAAAGACTCGGAGTTTGGTTCTAACGAGTTGTTAGCGCCACACGAATCGGTTTGACTCAGCGTGAAATTGAAGCGCTGTTTATTGAAAGCTGAACAAAACGCGTCCAAGAGTTGAAGTGATGAACGTGTCAATTTCTGTGGAATTGAATTCGATGTGTTGTGAGGGCGTGAGTGTCGACAGCGGTGTTTGGCGGTGGCTCCGGCGAGGAGAAAGAGGATGAAACGGAACGGTAAGGGGTTTGTATTTTTGGGAGGTAATGAGCAGGATCCGTTGGATCAGAAGGGTTAATAACGTTTATCTTTTGAACACGTGGGACGGTTTGAGCCGTTGCTAGTCGATAAGTAAGAGTTTGTACGGATCAATTGGTAGCCCTTGGATTGGGTTAGTGCTCTTTCATCTGGACCGATGGTTTGGTATCTGGCACGTGCTGTTGAAATAAATTGAAACTCCTACTTTTCTATTTTTTTTTTCATTATTTATTTTGATGAGACACCAAACAATTGTATACCCGTTAAATTGTAATTAGTTATATCTAATTAGATATATCTAAAACCAGTACAGTTGGATATTGAATGAAAAGGTCCGCTGGGTTGAAATGAATTAATTAGATATATCTAAAACTAGTGAATATGTTAATTATTGGTTGGGATGGTAGAATATGAAAAAGACAAGTATCAAGTTTTATGTTAATTATTGGTTGGGATGGTAGAATATGAAAAAGACAAGTATCAAGTTTTCTCAGACAAGGTGACAGTCTAAATCTATATGTTATATACGTTCATGAAATAATGAATTATTTGCAAAGTGTTAGACAAGGGCAAGGGTATTATCACAATACATAAGACAGAAATAATGAATTGTTTGCAAAGTGTTAGACAAGGGCAAGGGTATTATCACAATACATAAGACACAGAGTAGTGAAAGAGATATGTATTTTCTACAAATTATTGATGAGCCACTGAAGTTTGTATATAATTGAAGCCATAGATTCGAGAAACTATTGGATGTTTTTTAAACTTTCATGAAATCAAGGAGCTGCCTAAGTAGACACGGCATTCACTGATGGATTTTCTTGTCTTCGGGTATGTGGCCCAATAAAAAATTGAAGAATGCCTTTTAGTTGTAATAAAGAAGTAGAATGAGAGAATAAACTTTGAGCTGGGTAATTCTTGAGGTAGCATAATACTCGTATAGCAATTGTGTGATGGATAGTAATGAGTTGACTCATATGTTGACTGAGTTGTTGGACAACAAAAGCAATGTCTAGACATGTATTGTGATGATAAATGAGTTGTCCAACTAGCCTTCTGTAGGGAGTAGGATCTGTCAGAGGTGTGCCTTCATTGGATTGTAGTCGTGTGCTCTTGACATGGGAGTTATGGCAGGCTTACATCCTAGTAGGCCAATGTTAGATAAAATGTCTAGCACATATTTTCTTTGACAAATGTTGATGTCAGAGTCGGTTCCTGCTACTTCCAACCTAAGGAAGTATTTGATGTGAAAATTATGATGCAATGTTATTTTGATGGGCTCAATGATCTTGAAGTTGTTGTCTGCAATAATGAGATCGTAAACATTGTTGTTCTGTGATTGGCTGCATTTGGAAAACAACATGGAGTGTAACAGATATTTTATGAAGAAATGACACATGTGGGGACACGATGTTCTAGGTCACTATGAAGAAAAGTATTATTCACATCTAGTTAATAAAGATAGAGATTTAAAGAATTAGACAAAGCAAGAAGTAATCTTGCAGTTGTTAGTTCTGCAATAGGAGAAAAAGTGTCAAAGAAGTCAATTCCTTCCGCTTGGATGAAACCTTAGGCCACTAGCCTTGCTTTGTGTCTCTCAATGGTGCCATCAGTATGAAATTTTTGTTTTATAAACCATTTTACAACCAATTTCTCTTTTACATGGTGGGAGGATGGTAAAGATCCAAGTTTTGTTGTCAGTGACACCTTGAATTTCTGTTTCCATTATTTTGATCCAATGAGGATGATTGATAGCTTGATTGCATGTGGAGGGATCACATGATGCAATAATGGAAGATATAAAATAATGAAATTCATGGGAAGTATTATGATAATAGCTATATTTAGAAATGTTATAACGACGGGAGAATGAAAAACATTGAAAATAAAATCATTTAGGTAATTATGAGTGTTTTAAGTTCTTGTGGATTTTCTCAGAGGTGGGTTAGGTTCATTAGTGTTGCCTATAGGTTGACTAGTGTTCTATATAGGTTGACTATTGTTATTGAGATGAGGATTACTGGTTGTTGTAGGTTATGCATGTTAGTTACATGTTATATGTGATGCAGGATTAATATGGTGAGCTACAGGTGAGACATGTTGATGATTATTGGCTACATGTGAGGCAGATTCGATATTGTTAGCAAGAAGGAAAGATGGGTGATTTTTTTGGTTTGGAAAAGGTCTATGGATAAGAGGTTGGTTATGCACTATGTCCGTGGAGAACTAAAAAAGGAAAGGTATAGTAGAAGTTTCTTTGTCTGAAACTTGTTCAGATTCGGTTGTATGTGAGGTGAGAGGAGTGTATGGTAGGTGTTTTCATAACAAGAGCAGTCTCTAGAAATAAATATGGATCTTATATGAATGGACAAATAGAAGGTAATTTTTTGTGTCATTAGGGTAGCCTAGAAATAAGCATCTAGTGGCTCTATGTTTAAGCTTGTCACAATGTATGTTTATTGTGGTGGCATAGGTTAGGAAACCAAATGTTTTAAGATGACTAAAAGAGGGACATTCTTTGAATAGAAGCTCTTAAGGATTATTTTTGTTAATGGTGGGATTTCATAGCGTGTTAATTAAGTATATAACATGATATAAAGCAAATGATCAAAAACATTTAGGCAACTTAGCATGAAATAAAAGAGATCTAGTGACGTTTAATAAGTGTCTGTGCATTATTTCATCAATGGAGTTTTGTTAAGGTATTTCAATGCAACTTCTTTGATGGAGAATACCTAAGGATTCAAAATAAGATGACATGACAAATTTTGTGCCATTATCATTACGTATAGTTTTGCTTTTGCATGAAAAGTGATTGTGACAATACGTAATGAATTTTTTAATGTATGTCCTAGTTTCATATTTATTATGCATCAAAAAAATTCCAGGTGTAACGTATAAAATCATCAACAATGGTAAAACCATCTAGAGAATGTATATCAATAGGCCCTCATATGTCCATATGCAGTAAGTCAAAACAATTAGAAGACATATAATTACTAGTGAGAAAAGGTAATCTGGATTATTTAGCAAGATGAAAAACATGGAAATGGAATTCTTATGATATTTAATGAGGGTAAATTCTTTTACATATGTTGTAAAACCTCACTAGAGGGATGGCCTAATCTATGGTGCCATATATCTAAGTTTCTATGAGAAGTAATGCCAGCCATATGGTCAGAGTTACAAGCATTAAAATAACTAAAGTATGTAGAGTTACAAAGAAATTGATTATGTGTGGGGATTTTGTGGACTATGTAGAGGTTGTTATGTTAAACCACCTGTCCATTCATCCTTTTTGTAGACACATTCTGAATGTGACAAGAATCAAGTGAGAAGGCAATTTCGTTTGGAAAATTTTATATAATATGGAGATAGGTATTAAGCTAAAGTGAAATTTAGGAATGTAAAGCACATTTTGTAAATGGCAAGTGAGGGTCAAGTATGATAGTTCAAGAAAAGTTGGAAATAATGGTAATTCCATTTGGAGGATGAACTTTGATGGGATGAATGATTTTAATGTCAGAGAACCATTTGATGTAGGTGCATACATGGTCTAATTGCCTTGAATCAAGAATTCACATAGAAAATTATTGTAAATCATTACATGTCTTGAATATACTAGAGATTATATGAGAAGTGTCAGATGAAGAATTCTTATTTGTATGTATTGCCTGAGCATCTTTCTTAATTACGCAGTGACAATACAAAAGAATATTTCTCTGACCGTTTCAACTTTTTCATGCACTCCAAAGGCATCCTATATCAATCGAGTTTTCCCCATACGCCTCAAAAAATGGTGTTGATGAAAGAAAACATAGAAACATTGTTGACACTGCTCATACCCTTTTGCTAAATGCCAATGTGCCTCAAAAGTTTTGGGGTGATGTTGTTCTTACTATTGTAACTTTTGACATAAAAAAAGGGGAACCCTTTCGACAGTAAAGAAATCAGAGATCCTTTGAAGTATCTCTATAAACTCTACGAGACATGCTTGATATGCAAACTAAGCAGTGAAATCACTGAGGATAAAGTAAAATTACATTTGTTTGGTTTCTCCTTGATAGGTCGTACAAAGGACTGGTTGCAATGTATCCCAAATGGAACTATCTAAACTTGGAAAGTGTTAGAAGAAGAGTTTATCAAGCGATATTATTCTAATGCTTATTTTATGGAAATAAAACCCGCAATTACTACTTTTGCTCAAGAAGAGGCAGAGTCACTAGCTGATGCATGGGAAAGGTTCAAGTTGTTACTCTGAAAGTGTCCAAATCACAACATGAGTTCTATAGAGCATATGACACACTTCGTCGATGGGTTGAGAACAAAAATAAAAATGCTTCTTGCTGCCTCAGCTGGAAGTACATTGAGATTGAAGAGTGATGAAGAATAAAAAAATATTGATTGAAAGCATGTGTCAGAATGAGTACCATTCTAGCAAGCTAGCAATGAAACAAAAAGGTACTCAGTCAGTTGATTCTACCACAACTTTAGCCACTCAAATAAAAGCCTTCACTAAACAATTAACTGCAGTCTAACTAGCTCAAGCTAATGT